ATTGCCCATCCCTAATTGTCCAGCAGGCAGTTAAAAGTAAACCACATTGCTGTGGGTCTGCAGTCACATGTAGATCAGACCAGGTAAGGATAGCATTTTCCTTCCCTTAAAGGGCATTAATGAACCAGATGGGCTTTTCCCCAACAATCAGCAATGGATTCACGGTCATCATTAGATTCTTAATTTCGGATATTTATTGAATTCAAATTCCACCATCTGCCATGGCAGGATTTGAACCTGGGTCCTCAGAACATTACATGGGTGTTTGGATTAACTAGTCCAGCAATAATACCACTAGGCCATCACCTCCCCCACAAAACATACACACACAAACATATGCACCCTCTCACAAACACACAGGCTCTCACATAACGCTGTATGTGACATACTCTGACACATGCTAACATACACACACACAAATTCATGTGCTCTTTCTCACATACACACACACACAAACATTAACAGACACACATCACTGAATTTGCTTAAGAAACCAGAGGGTGGTAGGGGTCTGGAATGCACTGCCTGGGAGGGTAGATGAGATATGAAATGTCATTACCTTTAAAAAAAAATACTTGGACTAGCACTTTGAAGTGTCATAACATTCAAGGCTACAGGCAGGAAAATGGGACTAGTGTCAGTAGTATTTGGTGGTACAGACTTGATGGGCCGTAAGGTCTGTGTGAATGCAGGAGAACTCATCTCAATGATTAAGCAAACAGGTTTTTGAGTAACTGCACAGGGAACTTGACATGACGGCAAAAAAAAAGACAACATTATTCCCATAGTCACTGGTTTAAGGTCTACCCTCTCAAGTGTCAGCTATGTCTCATTGGTTCGGATTTTCATCCTGTATCACAGGATGCCCTGAAAACTTACAACTCTCAGGCCTTTAGGACATTGACCCAACAACGAAGAATGACTGGTATTATTTGTGAGAATCATGCAGGCTTTATTATTAAAGAAAATCAGACAACGCTTCACGAAACCCAAGTGGTAACCAGCAACCATCAGCCCTCGGTGATACTGGAGCACAGCTAAGATGTCACCTTTGTCATGTAGGTTTCTCGTCTCATCGCCAACTGTGCTGTCGTCGTCCAGCGCACCGCGGCTTACCCACCGCATCTGCTCATCGTCCTGTAGCTCTCCACTGGGTTGGTGCGGACTTGACGGGCCAGAGGGCCTTTCCCTGTGCTGTCTGCCTCAATGACCCTGCCCTGTCACCTCAGCACAATCCTACCTGACCTTTGATGGGCCTTGCACGGGGTTAGAACTTTTTATCTGTTCCTTCACACGACGCACTGATCCCTAACATTGCTGGTCAACCATCAGCCTGTTAGGTCAGACTCGAGTAACCGAGCAGGATATATGCGGCTTATCTCGTAGAAAAGAACTGTAGCCAACCTAGTTGCTGCTCACAGAGTGAACAACTGCCAATATCACGTACAAATAAAAAGAATCGAAGGCACACAGAATTGACAACACCTTATGCCCCTCACCTGGCGATGCTGTGACAGAAACACGTTGCACCGAAAGGTACTTCTCAGTCTGCAGAAAGAGACTTCTCTCCCCTCTCTGCGCGTTAAGAGAAGCCTAGACAAAAAGCCAATCGCTGCTCCAATGCTGCCGTCAATGCTAATGTTAGCTCGGCCCCTGGGCAACCTCAAACCCGTGGGCCCTGCCTGGGAAAGAAACGGTCAGCACTTACCGTTTGCATCGACTGCTCCATCAGGTAAGGAGCTGCCTGGAAGGTCTCCTAAGGATAGTTTGGTAAAGTGGTTGAGAAAGCACGTGGTATGCTTGCCTCTATTTAGCCGAGGCGTGGAGTTTAAGAGGAGGGAGGTGATGCCAGAACAGTATAAAACATTGGTTGAGCGATAACTGGAGCGCTGGGTGCAGTTCTGGGATCCGTATTATAGGAGAGATGTGATTGCCCTGGGCAGGGTGCAGAGGAGATTTACCAGGATGTTGCCTGGGCTGGAGAGTTTCTGAAAAGAGATTGGAACAGGCTGCGGTTGTTTTCCTGGGAGCAGAGGAGATTGTGAGGGGAACATGAGTGAGATGTATAAAATTATACAGGGCCATGGATAGGGTAGGCTTTTCCCCTTGATGCAGGACTCACTGCCCTGGGGTGGTGGGGGGTCTTGGATTTATGGTACAGGGCAGAAGATTTGAGGAGAGGAAAAGAATGCTTTCATCCAGAGGGCGGGAATCTGCAACTCATTGCCTGGAAGTGTGTTAGAGGCGGAAACGCTCATGACATTTAAGAAGGATTTAGATGTGCACTCGCAATGCCAGGTGTAGGTGACCTGATAGAGGTTTGCAAAATCATGAGGGGCATGGATAGAGTGAGTAGCCAAGGTCTTTTTCCCCCAGGGTAGGGGAGTACAAAACTGGAGGGCATACATTTTAAGATGAGAGGGGAAAGATTCAAAAGGACCTAAGGGGCAACTTTTTCACACAGAGGGTGGTGCATGTATGGAACGAGCTGCCAGAGGAAGTGGTGGAGGCTGGTACAATTACAACATTTAAAAGGCTTCTAGATGGGTATATGAATAGGAAGGGTTTGGAGGGATATGGGCCAAATACTGTCAAATGGGAGTAGATTAATTAAGGATGTCTGGGGGCATGGATGAATTGAACCGAAGGGTCTGTTTCCATTACTCTGTATAAGACTATGGGCCAAGTGCTGAAAAACAGGATTGGAATAGTTAAGATTGTTTTTGATGGGAGCAGACCCGATGGGCCAAAGGGCCTTTTTTTCTGCGCTGTACACCTCTGTGAAGAAAGGGTGGCCTCACACTGAAGGCACTGCAAAAGCTGATGGAGCAGGCAAAGAGACAGCAGGAGGTGTGAGCGACACAGAGACTGTAGAGCACTACGCTGTTGTAGTTTCCATAACAGTTAGTGAGTCACAGAAACATTGAAGATAGGAGCAGGAGGAGGCCAGTCGGCCCTTTCAGCCTGCTCCACCATGCATCGTGATCATGGCTGATTGTCCAACTCAATAGCCTAATTCTGCTTTCTCCCCATAACCTTTGATCCCATTTGCTCCAAGTGCTGTATCTAGCTGCCTCTTGTATACATTCAATGTTTTGGCATCAACTACTTCCTGTGGGAATGAATTCCACAGGCTCACCGCTCTTTGGGTAAAGAAATGTCTCCTCATCTCCGTCCTAAATGGTCTACCCCGAATCCTCAGACTGTGACCCCTGGTGCTGGACACACCCACCATCGGGAACATCCTCCCTGCATCTACCCCGTCCTGTCCTGTTAAAGTTTTACAAGTCTCTATGAGATTCCACCCCAACCTCCCCACCCACCTCATTCATCTGAACTCCAGTGAAAACAATCCTAACCTAGTTAATCTCGCCTCACGCCATCCCCAGCGTAAACCTACGCTGTGCTCCCTTGAGAGCAAGATCATCTTTCGTCAGTCCATAGTCTGCACCAACATATGAAATGTACCCCACTGTAACCAAATGGTATGAACAGCTTAGCCCACAGCTGAGCCCTTGGCCTTGGACACGAAAGTGTCTCGGGTACGAACTCAGGGTCAGGCGTTAATGCACTCGAGGGATCAGACCCCTGTTGTGTGCATCTCCCTTCCTGAGTTGGGACAGGAATTGCTATCGTCATTCAAATCACATACAGCAAGAAGTCATCATTCCTTGGGACCGCTGACCAGAGACACAGCACTGAACCCTGTGCTCTTCCATTGGCCTGTCATGTCCACAGCCTTCTCCCTCAGGGGAGGTGGACTCTGAACCGTACATGGTGAAGGAGGAGTTGACACTTATCCTGTCCTCAGGTGGAAGCAGCGGAGACAATCTTTAGGGGCAACCAGCTTCCATGCCTTATTGCAGGTCTGTTATGAAGAGATAGCAATGAACAGCCAGGAGGTTCAAAATCAACACGCTGCGAACTAGGATGAAACTAGTCTGGGAGCACTGCCAACCTCGGAACAGGAATAGGCCATTCAGCCCCTCATGCCTGAGTCATACAGCACCCTTCAGTCCAACCAGTCCATAATCCCAAACTGAACTAGTCCCATCTGCCTGCGTTTGGCCCATATCCCTCCAAACATTTTGCTTCATGTACTTATCCAAATGTCTTTTAAATGTTGTAACTGTACCCACATCCACCACTTCCTCAGGAAGTTCATTCCACACACTCTCTGTGTAAACAAATTGCTCCTCATGTCTTTCTTAAATCTCCCTCCTCTCATCTTCAAAATATGCCGCCAGTCTTGAAATCCCACACTCTAGGGGAAAAAAAAACACTTGCCATTCATTTTATCTGCACCCCTCATGATTTTATTAGCCTCCATAAGGTCACCCCCCAACCTCCTATGCTCCAGTTTAAAACGTCCCAGGCTATCCAGCCTCTGCTGATAACTCAAACCTTCCATTCCGGCAACATCCTGGTAAATCTCTTCTGAACCCTTCCTATAACGGGGAGACCAGAACTGGACACAGCACTCCAGAATGTCCTGTACAACCTCAACATAATGTTCCAACTCCTACACTCAAAGTTCTGAGCAACGAAGGCAAGAGTGCTAAATGACTTCTTAACCACCTGATCTAGATGTGATGCAAACTTCAAAGAATTATGTGGCTGAACCCCTAGGTCTCTCTCTGTTCAACAACATTACCCAAGGCCCTACTTTAATTGTACAAGTCTTGCCCTTGTTTGTTGTACCAAAATGCAATACCTTGCATTTATCCAAATTAAACTCCATCTGCCACTCCTCAGCCCATTAACCCAATTGATCAAGATCTCTTTGTAATCTTAGATAACCTTCCTCACTGTCCACTATACCATCAATTTGGCGTCATCTGCAAATTTACTAACCGTGCCTTCTCATCTAAATGACAAAAAGTGGACCCAGCACTGATCCCTGTGGAACACCGCTGGTCACAAGCTTTCAGTTTGAAAAATAACCCTCCACCATTACACTCTGTCTCCTGCCGTTAAGCCAATTATGTATCCAATTGGCAAGCTCACCCTGAATCCCATGCAAAATGACTTTACTAATTAGTCTACCACGTGGAACCTAATCAAAGGCTTTACTAAAGTCCAAGTAACCAAAATCTACTGCTCTGGCCTCATTAATTTTCTTGGTTACTCCCGTACTTACTTACTGTTCTATGAAATCATGGCTGATCTGCAGTCGAACTCCATATACCTGCCTTTGGTCTGTACCCTTTCATAAATTTGCTTAACAAAAATCTGTCTCAGATTTATAATGAACAACTGATACATTTGTGGAAGAGAGGTCCAAACTAGCTATCACATCTACTAACATTAACAACCTCCACTTAGAAGAAGCAAATAAAGGCACTGGAGAAGGCCCTACACGGATTCACAAGGATAAGACCAGGGCTGAGAGCATTTCAACCTCAGGAAAGGCTGCGAAGCTTTGCTCTAGAAAAGAGAAGACTGAAGGGTGACCTGATGAAATTCTGTAAGGTGATGAATAGGGATTTCAGGAGAAACCTCTTTACCCAGCGAGTGGTGAGAATGTGGGACTCACTCCCACGATGAGTGGTTGTGATGAACAGCTGGAATACACTGCCCTGTGCTGTAGACTCAATGGAACAGAGACAAATGTATCTATTTTATATCTACCTGTAATGGTTGGAAGAAAACACTATTTTCAGTCCAGGATCAAACTGGGCCAGGATTTGCTTCATGTGTTTTTGTGCATCATTTCAGTGGGAATATGGAGTCCCAGGCTCAAAAAATATCAGCCCCCACCCCCCAACTCCCAACTCCGAAAGCAAAGTCGGTGAGAGTGACCAGTCCAGCAGAAAGGAACCCTTCTTCACCCCTCCCACTTCCCTCACTGTCAGAATGAACACGGTTCAGTCCTGGATGTGATTCACATCAACAATAGCAGCCCAATCCAATTGTTGTTATCACTTGTGAACTCGCTGGTGTCTCAGCAGAGTGGAGGACTGAGTGAATCGCTTCCCACACGCGGAGCAGATGAACGGCCTCTCTCCGGTGTGAACCCGCTGGTGTGTCAGCAAGCCCGAGGAGTCACTGAATCCCTTCCCACACTCGGTACAGTTGAATGGCCTCTCCCCGGTGTGAACACGCTGGTGTCTCAGCAGGGTGGACGAGTGACAGAACCCTTTCCCGCATCTAGAGCAGGTAAATGGCCTCTCCCCCGTGTGAACGAGCTGGTGTGTCAGCAGCGTTGATGAATCAGTGAATCCCTTCCCGCAATCAGAGCAGGTGAAAGGCTTCTCCCCAGTGTGAACACGCTGGTGTCTCAGCAGGTGTGAAGCTTGGGTGAACCCCTTCGCACATTCGGAGCAGGTGAACGGCCTCTCTCCGGTGTGAACTCGCTGATGTCTCCGCAGGCTGGATGACATTCTGAAGCTCTTCGCGCAGTGAGAACAGCTGAATGGTCTCTCCTCGGTGTGAATCCTCTGGTGCACCATCAATTCCTGAGAGTTTTTGAAGCCACCCCCACAGTCAGTGCATTTAAAAGGTCTCTCGTTGGTGTGAATGAACTGATGTGACAGCAGACTGGATGACTGACTGAATCCCTTCCCACACACAGAGCACGTGAACGGCCTCTCGCCAGTGTGAACTCGCTGGTGCGTCAGCAAATTGTATGACCGAGTGAATTTCTTCCCACATTCCGAGCAGGTGAATGGCCTCTCTCCGGTGTGAATGCGTCGGTGAATTTCCAGCTTAGATGGGAATCTGAATTCCTTCCCACAGTCCCCACAATTCCATAATTTCTCCATCCTGAGTCTCTCCAGCTTCAGTGATGAAGCCTTGCTCCACACAGAACATGTGTGCGGTCTCTCACCACCGTGAATGGGGCGATGTATTTTTCAGACCGATTAACTGGTCAAAATTCCTTCCACAGTCAAAAAAATAACTGGAACACTCTCAATCCAGTGTGTGTCCCAGTATTTTCCAAGTCACCTCAGTGTTTGAAATCTTTTGTGAAGCAGTTAGAACAGGCAAACATTTTTAAGTTCTTAATTCAAAGGCCAATCATATTTAGGTCCCAAAGTAGCAAGTGCCTCAATCGGATCTTGACGTTTGGCTTGAGATTTCTGCCTGCAAATCCTCCTCTTTTAATATCCTGCAAAAAGAGATTGCAAAAGTCATCACTATCAGTACAATTCAGCACAGACAATTCTAGTTTGGGACATCCATTTCATCCCTCATTCCCTAAAAGCTGTAAATTTCCATCCCACACACTCTCCCTCCATTCTCACCCTGCTGTACTTAATAGCCCTCTCTCCTGAAAGGTCTGATTGATAATGCTGACTGAGAAACCCACACTCACCTCTTCCTGTCCTGGACACCTGGATCTGAAGACCATCACAAACAGGAACTGGATGAGGCCCTGAGTCTGACTCTGGGACTCACTGAGACTGCGCATGCACACAGTTCCGCAAGGAGAGGGGCAACTGATCCTAGACCTGCGCACTGGTCTCAGACAGTCATTGATAGGGGACCTTCACCAGCGCTGTGTCCTCTGGGTAATAATACCGCCATTCACGCCTTCCATCAACGACACAGCACCGACGTTTCGCCACTTTCTCATGGAGATCGGGGGACAGGCATCCAAAAAACAATTATAAGAAGCTCAATGTCAAAACTTACATTCGAGACCAAACGGGGGCAGAATTCAACATATTATTGGAAGGACGCATGTGCAGAAAGGACCGGAAGGTTTGAACCTGGGAAGCAGGGGCGCACGGTGAGGCCACTGGCCCTTTGTGACGCCACCGCCCGGCCCCGCACATGCGCAGTCCCTCAGCCCTCCCCGGGAACATTGGAATCCCAGCAACAGGTTTTGCTGCAGATTGTCCCAGTGTTGTTTGAAAGGACAGCACTTTGCACAGGATAGACCAGGGGCATTTTCAACTAGGGACCAGCATCAATGCACACCCTCAGGGGACACACGCTGTTGTTTGCTGCATTTTAACGTGGGGAGAAACTGAGAATATGACACAGATCGAGGATCAGCCATGATTATTTTGAATGTTTAAGAGCCAAATGGCTTACTAGCTCTATTCCTCAACCATCTGCTCTTAGATTGTCAGCTTTTTCTGTCTCTGAGTTGTTTCGTGGCCAGGTTGTATAGTCTTTTCCATTTCCTTTCCAGTTGCACAAAATATCTTCCTTTACTCGTCTGACATTGATTTGAGCTGGACAAGGATATAACATGGAGGGATGAAAGAAGGGAACCAGTAAAATGTTACGTTTTTGGTTTCCCAAAAGGATTGCAGTCAAAAATGTACTCATGTTTCAAACATGAGGAAAGCAATTGTGCGGAGGATATAAGGAGCTGGATAGTGACAGGTGAAATGATTAGGCAAAAAAATTGGAAGATTGATTTCATTGTGGGAATTGTGAGGGTGTTCACTTTAGTAGGATATATAGGAAAGCACAGTGCTACTTAAAGGAAGAGAGATGGTCAAGTGCTGCAATGCAGAGAGATCTTGCTGTGCTTGTACATACATCTCAAAACGTCAGCAGAGATGAAAAATATTTAATGAAAAAGGCAATTCAATGTTGTCCTTTACTGTAAGAGGGGTGGAGTATAAGAGTAAGAAGACCTTGTTACAATTGTATTTAAGAAATGATAGAACTGCATCTGGAGTAGTGAGTACAATATTAGTCTCCTTTCTTAAAGGCGTAAAGAATCACAGTGGAACAGTTCAGTAAGTGTTCACTACTCTATATCCTGGGCAGAAGTAACTGACTTTTGAGTGGAAGTTGTGAAGTTTGGCCCTGTAGTAATTCTAGAATTTAGATACGAACAGGAGTACACCATTCAGTCCCTTGAGCCTGTTCTTCCATTCAATAAGATCATGGCTGATCTGTGACCTAACTCCATGTATCTGCCTTTGACCCCTTTTCTTAACAAAAACATTATCTCTCTCAGATTTAAGATTAACAACTGATCCAGCATCTACTGCCGTTTGTGGTAGAGAGTTCCAAACCTCTACCACTCTGTGTGTAGAAGTGCTTCCTAACATCTCTCCTGAATGGTCTGGCCCTAATTCTCAGACTATGACCCCTAGTTCTAGAATCCAAACCAGTGGAAATAGTTTATCTTTACCTACCCTGCTTCCTCCTGTTAATATCTTGAAGATTTCAATCAGATCACCCCTTAACCTTCCACATTCTTGAGAAAACAGGACTAATTTGTGTAATCCCTCCTCATAACTTGACTCCTGTAAACCAGGTATTATTCTGGTAAGCCTATGTTGTACTCCCTCCAGGCCAATATATCCTTCCTAAGATCCTGTCCAGATCTGCTCACAGTCCTCCAAGTGGGGTCTAACCAGGGTTTTATATAACTGCAGCATAACTTCTTCAACCTTATACACCAGTCCTCTAGATATAAAAGCCAGCATTCCATTAACCTTCTGGATTATTTTCTGCATCTGTTCAGACCGCGCCCCCCCTCCCCCCAAATAAAAAGTCTCTTTGGATGGTATTTAACGTCATACCATCTAGAAAGTCCCTGATCTATATTTGATACAACATGGATAATCTCACACTTGCTTACATCGAACTCCATCTACCACAGTTTTGCCCATTCATCCAGTCTATTGATACCTGTTTGTAATTGTGTGCTATCATCTACACTGTTGATAATACTGTTTAGAATCCTTTCAGCGTGGAAACATGCCATTGGGTCCAACATGTCCACACCAACCCTTTGAAGAGCATCCCACACAGACCCATCCCCCTCCCCTTACCCTATTCCTGTAACCCTGCATTTCCCATGGCTCATGCACCTTACCTACACATCCCTGAATATTATGGGCAGTTTTGCGTGGCCAGTCCACTTCATTTGCACATCTTTGGACTGTGGGAGGAAACCGGCATCCGGCAGAAACCCATGCAGACATGGGCAGAATGTGCAAATTCCACACAGGCAGTCACCTGAGGGTGGAATCGAACCTGGGTCCCTGGCACTGTGAGCCATTGTGCCACCCTTTTGTGTATTCAGCAAATGGAAGGACATCTTACTCCAAGGAGAACATTCCCAGATGCTTCACATTAATCTTGTAGCTAAAATTCCTTGCTCTGACAGATCTTTGTCCAAGTCACATTTGTTCCAAAACAAAACACGGAGGACACTTAAGAAACTCAGCAGGTCTGGCAGCATCTGTGGATGAAGATACAGTGTTAATGTCTTTAGAGTCCAGTATGGCTCTTCTTCAGAACTGAACTCATACCAGAGTCCAAATGTTAACTCTAAATGTGGATTGAAGATTACAATAACGTGAGCCATCACTTTGTTGAATATTATTGTTCCTCCATCAGTAAAACAAAATAGCAGCAGGATGGGCCGAGGAGTGACAGATGCTGGATGGTAAGGTCCTTGGGTGTGTTGCTGAACAAAGAGACCTTGGAGTGCAGGTTCATAGTTCCTTGAAACTGGACTGACATTGACAGGATACTGAAGAAGGCGTTTGGTGCACTTGCCTTTATTGGTCAGTGACTGAGCGTAGGAGTTAGGATTTCATGTTGCAGCTGTACAGGACATTGGTTAGGCCACTACTGAAATACTGCATTCAGTTCTGGTCTCCCTGCTATAGGAAAGATATTGCGAAACTCAAAAGGGCTCAGAAAAGAGTTACCACAATGTTGCCAGGGTTAGAAGGTTTGAGCTATAGGGAGAGGCTGTTTTCCCTGGAGCATCAGAGGCTGAGGGGGTGACCTTATAGAAATTTATAAAATCATGAGGGCTATGGATAAGGTGAATAGCCAAGATTTTTTTGTCCAGGCTAGGGGAGTCCAAACCTACAGTGTCTAGGTTTAAGGTGAGAGGGAAAAGATTTATAAGGGACAACTTATTCACACAGCAGGTGCTTTGTGTAGGGAATGAGCTGCCAGAGGAAGTGGTGGAGGCTGGTACAATTACATTTAAAAGTCATCTGGATGGACATATGAAGAAGAAGAGTTTAGAAGGATGTGGGCCAAATGCTGGCAGATGGGACTAGATTAATTTAGGATATCTGGTTGGCATGGACAAGTTGAACTGAAGGGACTGTTTCCATGCTGTGCACCTCCAAGACTCTATTTTGTCTGCAACCTCTCATGGAGCGTCACATCCCTCATGAAGTATAAAACCAGAACTGGACACAATACTCCACTTGTGATCTAACTTGGGATTATGATCGGCATAGACTGGTTGAACTGAAGGTTCTGTTTCCGTGCTGTATGACCTTACAGAAGTTTATGAAATCATGAGGGGCATGGATAGGGTGAATAGCCAAGGTCTTTTTCCCAGGGTAGGGGAATCCAAAACAAAAGGCTGAAGGTGAGAGGGGAGAGATTTAAAACTGACCTAAGGGGTAACTTTTTCCACACAGAGGGTGGTTTGTGTATGGAATGAGCTGCCAGAGGAAGTGGTGAAGGTGGGTACAATTACAACATTTAAAAGGCATCTGGATGGGTGCATGAATAGGAAGGACAAATGCTGGAAAATGGGACTAGATTTATTCAGGATATCTGGTCAGCAAGGACAATTTGGACTGAAGGGTCTCTTTCCGTGCTGAACGATTCAATGACTCTATGACAAGAACTTCAGAAAGGTTCAGCAGAAACGTTCTCCTTTTGTACTCAGTCCTTCGATTTCTGCAGTGTTCAATTTTCTCTATGTCCTGTCCCCTTCGCCAATCTCTGTACATAAACCCCAGGTGCCTCTGTTCTAAAGAGTGAGCAGGGACAATGTCATTAAATCCATATTGTGTCTTCCTATTCCTTCTGCCAAGTCATATCCCGTCTTCTCCTCCAGATTAAATCTGAGGCTGAATTTAGCTGAGAATAATGGGGCCAGCACCTCAGTTGGGAAAATACTTTGGTCATATCACCAATGAAGAGATGGGAAAACACATGAGGACCAGACAGGGAAATGTGCCTCTAGTTAGTTGGGATGTCAGAGGCAGCACAGGGACTGATAGTGTCATGAACCCTTTGGGTTTAGCTCCCCACTGCCCAATGTGGGTGATATGGGAACAGAGGATCCAAAGAGAAACCATTTGGGTCCAGAACTATGTTCACATCCTTCTGCTCTGGTTATCTCTGATTCTCAAGTTGTTTTGTCTTGTTTCATTATAAACGTTTCGCAGTAAAATGATTTGATTTTGTTGGACTTTTTCTGATTAGATTGATGTCATAGAGTCATAGAGATGTACAGCACAGAAACAGACACCTTGGTCCAACTTGTCCATGCCAACCACATATCTTAAATTAACTTAGTCCCATTTGCCAACATTTGACCCATATCCCTCTAAACTCTTTCTATCCATGTACCCATCCCATTGCCTTTTAAATGTTGTCATTATAGTCGCTTCCACCAGCAGCTCATTCCATATACGCAGCACCCCCTGCGTGAAAAAGCTGCCCCTCAGTTCCCTTTTAAA